ACCCCCCCCCCTCCTCCCATATCCTACTCTTGCCCTTTTAAAAACTCCCAATAGGCCATCAACAACATTCCTTCTGCGAAATCTGTCCTGTGCATCCCTTTCTACCTGTTTCCATGATATCCTCGCCTTTTCCATCTCCGCCTGTACCGCTCGCCTCTATGTCATCTTTGGTCTTCTTTTCTTATGTTTTCCTTGTGGATTCTACGTCAAAGTCTGTCTGATAATGCTTGTCAGGGTTTCCTCAGGGTGTGCCCAATCCATTTTCCTCACATATGTACCCCTCTCGTATCCCTCACCCATACACCTCTCTCGTAGCCCTCTAAGGTACATAGCAGCGTGCGTTGCTTCCTCTCAGACGCATAGCCTACCAGTAACGTATCATCATGTCTATTTCTACATCGAAGTGCCTGTGCTGAGTTATGTAACTACCCCCCCCCCAACTAAATGCTGGTGTTTTACAACTTCATCAACACAAAGTAGATACCCCGGGCCGAGAAGGATACAACAATCCAGCAGAAAGACCGAGATACTCTACTACTCACTCCATAGATATTTTCTCCACTTGGGAATCGAACTCGGATCTCCTGCATGCCACAGCGAAGCGCTTAATCGCCACTACACCATAGACGTCGGTTCTGATCTGCATGAAGGGAGCACAAATGTACCAAGTGTATTGAGAGACACAATACTCTACCCAAAAAAGCAAACAATAAAAACCCCTTGTAGGATAGACATTAGCCCGACTAGTTGAAATTTTACAGGGAACAAAACAGCATAAACGGAATGAAGCTTAAACATAGCTTAATTCTTATATTAATGTAGCCTACTTTAAAAAAAGATAAGAACTTGTCTATCTTATCTAAAAGCATTTTTAAAAAGGCAAAGATTGGTGTGGCGCTCATATGACCTTATGCAGTTGCGAGCGCCGTAAAATCCTCTACTAAAAAAAAAAGAAAAGAAAAAAAGATTGGTGTCATTGGAATTGAAGTTTATCAAAAGTTGCCGTCAAATATTGAAAATCGGTCGAGCACTAATAATTTGTACCGTAGACTTGACCTTTAAAAAATTAGCTGGCTTTGTAATAATGATATTATGTATTATGTTTATAAAAATCATTGGTTTTATCTTGAATGCATACCAATACAGAATACCAAAATAAGCATTAGATTATGTCTTCTTCTTCTTCTTCTTCTTCTTCTTCTTCTTCTTCTTCTTCTTCTTCTTCATACATTTATGCAGGTATGGATGGCATTTGCCCGCGTGCGTTATCTGTGCTCTGTTTTCTTCCTTTTTTTTCTTCCTCTATAACTCTTTTGCCAAACACTATACATCCAATCTAATGGTAGAAGTTATAACCTGTAGCGCGTTGAACTCTTGAAAAGTACACCAATTTTTTTGCCCTTAAAGCTGACTAATTAATGTCTAATATGACGTTAATGGAATAGGCTTACATGGTAATATTGTTTTTATAACAGGCGGCTAAGCTTATTTGTAATCTCATAACCAAAGGCGAGAAGATCAAAAAAGTTCAAAAGTTTAATTTTTAATACCTAGGATAATATTATTATAATTTGATCTGAAAACAAACAAGCCAAGGGGATTAGTCGAAGAATTACAAAAGCTTAAAATAATTTAACTTGAAAAAAAAAAAGGACAGTGTTAAACTCTTGAAGAAAAGAGAAACAATATTCATCCTTTCTTTCTTCAGCACCAGGTACCCGTTACTTCGCACATGTTCCATCTGCAACCTAAAAAGCACAGACTACATGCAATTTATCATAAGCTACATAGATCTATCACTTGCTTGGCTTTTTTTTTAAACGTAGGTCTATTTGTACACCCCTATCTACACAACTTGGAGCATTTAGAAGGCGGGCTTCACCTTAGCAGAGACTGCACCCACCATTTTGGAACTTCACGGTGACCGTAAAGATGGTTCCAGTAAGGAACGGGGAAGAGGGTGCCCACGTCTCTTGTGACTCATTGGAGCAGAGGAAGATAGGACTAAAGCTAACATTACTTAGACGCAAACCCATATCATCACTCACCAGCAATCTCAGATCAATGACTTACATCTATAATCCTGGAATCTCTATCTGCTATTACAGTTACTTGTTATACTAAGTATGCACGTTATATACTATTGGACACTATCATACGCATTTTTTTCCTACTAATCAGATGACGTCAATCTCATATTAATGGGCAAGGGTTAAAAATAAAAAGGAGGCGGGCTTCGACCCTGCCTGACATGGCCAACCTGGACTGAGGCTGAGAGGGATCATAAATGGTCGCTTTTAAGCACAAGGGGGCTATCCCGAAAAATGCTGTTTTGAGAAAATTGAAGGTAAAGTTTTTGCCCCTTGTTCAGTTTCTTTAAAAGACAATTAGAGTTTTCTATAACTAAACAAATATACACACCAATGAAATCAAACGTCTCTTATATGTTGGGCAATGTCCACTTATGGTGTGGGTCAAGATTTCTGGAAAGCCCCAAAATCTGTGTTAGCCCACTTGTCCTTAAAAGCAACTAAATATCTCTGCAGAAAGACCTGGATACAGCAACAGAGGCCGGAACTTGTTTCGTTTTAGTTTAAGAAACATTTCAAGTACAGAAACAGAAACACAGTAGTTCTGTACGTAAATGTATTATCATACGACTCTGAGGCTGGACAACAGTTATATTGTTACATGAAACCGTTGCACGCAGAGAGAAAAAAAAAAAGAGAGAGAGAGAGAGAGAGAGAGAGAGAGAGAGAGAGAGAGAGAGAGAGAGAGAGAGAGAGAGAGAGAGAGAGAGAGAGAGAGAGAGAGAGAGAGAGAGAGAGAGAGAGAAAGACTGGCACACATGTCCCTGGATTAACAATCTACGATTCACGCGCAAACGAATAATGGTCTTAATGGTGTATATCATTTAAAAAAATTAATATTGCTTTGGATGAAATTATTTCAAAAGGATTGCTACATCAATAGAAAAATATATGTAATAAATCTGCGGTTTCTCTATAATTATTTTATCGACACGGAAATACATGCAAGAGATGACATGTTGACATGTGATTCATAATATACAATCTACTCATGTCCAAAAATGCAAACAAAACTCCACGCCCATATGCAGGGAACGGAGGAGCAAACGTTAACAATCGGTGCGGGACTGCTGTCTACTTTTCTTCTTACGCATGCTACGTATGTTGTAGTCGTTGTAGAGAAAAGTAAACGTCACTTCCGCCCGCTAACATAAATTATTGTAATGTACAGCGCAAAACACAGCAACAACAGCAGCAGTAATGCTGGCACTAACAACAACAACAACAAGGATGAGACGTCCTGCGAACGGTACAAGAAGTCTTCCTTCATCAGTCATTATAATTTATATCACTCAGATTTGGATGTCTTCTTTACAGACAGAGACACTATAGCCCATAACCATAACCATAATAATAATTTAGCTTTTGTATGTACATGTACATCGATGCAAAACATAGCTATTTTGCATAATATTATTATTGATAATTTTCTGGAGAGGAGCATTGAGAAGCTTAATTAATGATAATATTGCCATACATTAGGAGCTTGGCAGGGAAGTGGGATGTCCAACATTCTTCGCCTCCTTCTCCTCCAACACGGGTGCGATAAAAGGCCACAAGCCTAAGAAAAACCCAAGGCTTAACAACAGAGTGTAGGAAAGATTCTCAGCGCTGTTACTGTTGGCAAGAAGAACGCGCAGACCGGCGACTGCTAGCAGTACTAGCAGTAGGATAACTTCTACCAACATGAGGAAGGGCTTTAGCAGGGCGCGGCGGGAAGCTAGTCATAAGGAGAGGAGCCACTCAGAGATCCTTCTCTCTCGCAGACGTTTGTCCACGCGTGTGTCGATCCCGTGGTCCCTCAGCATTAGCGATAACTGGTCGACTTGCTGCTCACTCTCCGTGCCCGAGTCGGACTCCTGCTCGCTGATGTCCGTCGCTTGCATCAACCACGGGTCGGAAATGTATTTGCTGATTTCTTTCGCCGAGCTACGGCGGTTGGGTTTGATGTCGAGAGTCTTTCGGAAGAACTTGAGTATTCGGGGTGAGAATTTCCGCCATTGTGACGGTATTTTGGTTGTCTTTCGCCTCTGCCACAGGATAAACTCCTTGAAGTATACATCCCCGATGTCGGCGTTTTCCCAGGGGAAGTTTCCGGTGAGCATGCAGAAGAGGAGAACGGAAGTGGCCCACACATCTGCGCCGGTGGTGACGAGAATACTCTCGTTCCTCACCGCCTCGCATACTTCCGGCGGAGTGTAAGGAATGCTGCCATTTGTTTTTCGAACCATCGCACCCTCTCGCCGAGTCATGCCGAAATCCATCAGTTTCACTCTGGAGAAATCTGGACACATGACGAGAATGTTCTCGGGTTTGATGTCTCGGTGGACGAGCTTTTTGCTATGCATGAATTCCACGGCGGAGGAAATCTGCCGGATGACGAGTTTCGTGTTCGCTTCCGACATTCCGATTTGCGGAGGGATGAAATCGAACAAATCGCCCATCGGAACGTACTCCAAAGCAAACACGTAGCTGGCTCTCGTTTCAAAAGCGACGTTGTAGCTGTCCACAATGTTTGCGTGCGGAGACAGATAATAGCTGAAGTTGAACTCTCTTTGGAAATCTCGAAGTTTCGTTGAGGATTTTGGAAGAATTTTTAGGGCTATCTTCGTCCCGGTGTCTTTACAAGTGGCCTGAACGACCTTCCCGTAGGTGCCCCTGCCCAGATCTCGGTCGATCTCGTAGTGCTCTCTGAGGTTGAGCATCTGCAGGTTCTCCGACGTCGAGCATCGCGGCGACCTTGACTTTGACCTCCTGGGCCGCGCCACTTCCTCCTCTGACCCCGAGTAGCGCAGGGAGGAAGTCGGGCGTGAGAGGAGAGTGGCGGGGATGTTCTCTTGCGGTGGTGGTTTGGTGACGTCATTCTGGGAGGGCAGCGCCATGTCCCGAACAACCTCCTCTCCTCCTCCTCCTCCGCTCCTTCCTTCCTCCTCCGTGCCTCTCCCCACTTCCTGCACCGGCTGCCCGCTCCTCCGAGACGAGGTGAAGTTCTCCTTGGCGAAGCCGTAGAGGAACGTGACAAACTGATTCAGACGACAGCCGTCGGCGGAACTCTGAAGGTGAAGATGATGCATTGATCACGTCACATCCTCACCACATTTCTGCATGCCCTGGGTGGTGGACATGAACCGGTAAAGCTTTCCCCGCGAACATGGTGTCGTGTCTTTTCATTCGCTGTAGAAAAAACCCTCTGCTGTGCTAGAATAGTATCTCCCCACTACATAATAATTTATATCCACGTCTCATGAAAGCTCGCGACACAGCAAAGACGACTGGCAACGCCCAAAGAGCAGCTGAGTCGCAGAGACGTTGATCATGTTTGTCCAGTCACAATGTACGTAGGGTAGAAATTCGGCGTCAAGGCAACCCCGTAGACGCTGTCTATTGACTGTTGCTCGTGCTAGGGTCTCAGATCAGCAAACAAAGCGCCACTTTCAGCCACTGGATCTCACGACCTAGGCATAACCTCCCCGCTTGCAGTTCTCTGACCACACATCTGTGAACAGAAACGGAGAAACAATGCGTGAACAATTGGTCATTTAGCCGTTGTTAATCAGTACTGCCAAAAAAATAAAAGGCCAGATACCCAATACAAGCAACAGACAAACAGACAAGTTAAGGGACAGACTTCAGATATATAAATATTTTAAAAAACCAACACCCCCCCCAAAAAAAAAATTTAAAAAA